AAAAAAAAAAATGAAGCCGTTTTTGCAAAAAACGGGCCATTTTTGGGAGGGTTGCAGAGGGCAGAAACTTTTTTTTTTTAATTGCCTCTTCAAAACCTTGATGCATCTTATACTCCGAAAAATACAGGAATAATAGTATGAATAATAATTTAATCTAGAATAATTAAGAGTCCAGTGTCTAAGACATGTTACCGTGTTCCCCCCAAAATAAGACAGGGTCTTATTTTCTTTTGACCCCCGAAATAAGCACTTGGTCTTATTTTCAGGGAGGTCTTATTATTTTTGAGGTGCAGGAGGTGGAGAGCGTGGTCACCTCATGGCTGCTGCTGTGTTGCAGTATTTTGGGGGGAGGGCTTATTTTAGCGCATGCGCTCAAAATCCCGATTGGGCTTATTATCCGGGGAGGGTTTTTTTGAGGGAAACAGGGTATTTAAGGCCTTCAGACATCAGACATCACACTGTAGCTTCTGTTCTCAAAAAATCCTGCCTTCTCAAATTCACCGCAAAAACTTTCCACTGGTTTGTTATCCTTACTTCTGTCTCCAAAAAATGCTGAGTTTTCTCCCAATAGTTGATTTACGTTACAGATCCAATCTGTCTTTTTCATCTTTTCTTACTTACCAACACAGCCTCCTTCAACTTGGTGCACTCCGGATGGGCTGGATTACAGTTCCCAGAATTCTCTGCTACCCTGACTGTTGGTTAGCACATTTGGAGGGCACCAGATTGCAGGAAGCTGCCTTAAAACATGGTATAAATGAATAGGGCTAAACAGAAGCATTCATACAACCAGAGTTGACTTCTTAATGATATTTTGACTATGGATCTTTAAGTTTTATCCAACACAGATTTTTCCTCCCCCCCACCCCCCAATGTTCAATTTAGACATACACATGCATACTCTCATACCTTTACAGTCCAGCTATATAATGAAAGTCGCCATTTCAGCCATAAATGTAACACACATTACTTGTAATAATATTATTAGATGATATATAGCCTTACTGCAGGCTATGGGATGCTGATTATATTGAACCAAATCAAACTATTATTAACAATTGTGAAAAGAGATTGGAGTGAAGTTATGGACTTAAAATGGCATTTTGATGGAAGTTCTGGAGAAGACGAAGTCACAGAACTATGAGGGTCACCCCTGGCATTTCTCTTTTACTTAAAATTACCCCAAGGTCCTCTATTTTCCACAAATGTTCACTATTGCCTCCATAAAAGATCCACTACTCTGATCTCACTTTCTTCCAAAAAGTTCCCCTCAGCAGCTGTTCTGATGATCTTTCAATCAGATCCCCAAAGAAGTTTCATCCTTAGCTACACTTTACTCTCCTTGGCTAATCTCATAAAGTGCATTAGATCTCTTCTGTACATGGATGGAAAAGCCACCAGGAAATTCCAGTACTAGGGGTTAAATTGGGAAGTTCAAAAAGCATTCCTGTAAGAGATCTCCCCCTCCCCCTGAATGGCATCACTCTGCTTAGAACTAATTCCCACAACACTATCAAATAATTTTCTAAGACTGTATTATTATTATTCTTCTCTTCCTTGCTAGTATTTATCTCTTCCCACTTATGAATATAACCATGTTGCTTGTATCTTTAAAATGTATATTGTTTTATTTGTTTACTAGTACGATTTGATAGCTTATTAGTAACCTTGNTGATCATTGGAACTTAAAAAAAAACTTTTTAAAATGTTTTTTAACTACCGGTTTAGGAGAACTGGTAATTAAAAATGCTAAAAATGTTTTTAAAAATTGGCCATGCCCACCCAGTTACATGACCCCCCCATCAAGCCACACCCACCAAGCCACACTCACAGAAGTAGTAGGGAAAAATTTTGAATTTCACCACTGGGATGGGATAAATGTTTACATAAACAGCGGGAAGTATACAGTTGTTGTTTGATCCTGCATACCTTGACAGAGAGGAATGGCTTTGTTCCAGTGGTGGTAGCCTTGGGGGTGTCTCGAACATGTTGAAAAGCTGTGGCCAACAAGGCGGTAGCCAGCGTCACAACCAAACCAAATGGTGCTTTCTGGCTGCAGGCCGGAGTGGCTGAGGATAGAGCCATGGAGAGGTGCCGGAGGGAGGCTGCAATAAGGGGCTAGACAAGTGGAAGGAAAACATACATATGCATATACTCAGAAGCATGGAACAATTACAAGTGAAGAGAAATGGCTTTGCTCACCTCCACTCCTTCAAAACTCAGCTGCAAATCCTTGGCACGTCACCCTCCATGCCACTGAGATTTAACACTATGCCTTTGGTAATAAACCAGACCCAAAGGCACAGCTCACATTCATACATTAAACCAGCTTCTTCTTCTCACACCACCTCAAAATGGATGGACCATAGCTCTCATAGTTTCCCAGTTAGCATAGATATGGCTGAAGGTGCCGACAGGTGAAGTTCATATTTGTAGGAATCATGGAAGGTACTGTATTTTTCGGAATATAAGACGCACCCCTTTTCCTCAAAAAAGAGTCTGAAAATCTGGGTGCATCTTTTACACTGAATACAGCATTTTTTGCCTCCTGAAACCCTGCTCCTTTCACCAAAATGACCATGCATAGCTTGTAGGAGGCTTTCAAAGAGCTCCTGACGGCTGGGGAGGGCAGAAATGAGCAAAAGACAGCCCATTTTTGCTCAATTTTGCGCCCCCCCCCCGAGCACTCTATAAGTTTCCTAATGCCCTTTTTTATTTTTTGCTCATTTTTACTCCCCCAAGGAACATTCTACAAGCCTCCTAAGGGTTATTCATGCCCTTTTAAAAAAAAAAATGAAGCCGTTTTTGCAAAAAACGGGCCATTTTTGGGAGGTTTGCAGAGTGCAGAAACTTTTTTTTTTTAATTGCCTCTTCAAAACCTTGATGCATCTTATACTCCGAAAAATACAGGAATAATAGTATGAATAATAATTTAATCTAGAATAATTAAGAGTCCAGTGTCTAAGACATGTTACCGTGTTCCCC